AGACGGTTGATTTGAGTTATTTTACGGAACAGAGAAATAGGTACTTGCAAATTCAAAATTACCTACTTTGTCGAAGAGATAAAAACCACCAACATACTCGTACTACGGTATATAAATGTAAATTTTTGCATAAAGGTCGCTTAATAAGTTATTAGTAAAAATGAAATGAAATTATTTGTTACACTTTGGTGATAATTTTTGTAATTTGTCAAAAATAATCATGAACGTGTACAGCACTGTCCAGTCTTTTTCCGAATTCCAAGGATGAAATTAATCGGAAGATTCCATTACGGGTACACAAGATAGAAGCTAATATTACGTGAGCAGTACAACATGCGTCTCACATTCAATGTGTTTTTTAAGGACAAAACACAAGCACTACGGAAAAATCCTCAAGGCTTTCTAAGAGCGGTACCTGCGCGAAAGTAGCGATTCGCATTGGATCTGAATCACTGGAGATTAAATCCGTTTGGAAAAACGTTCTCTGGAAGTTTATTCCACATACACACAGTTCTCCAAATGGAAGGGTTTTTAAACAGTGAAGTTCCAGGTGTATTGAGTTGAACCTCAAAACGATGAGCCGCCACAGTCCATCGCGTATTTCTGATATGTACCGCTCTTGGTGTAATCAAATGTGCCAAGTCACTCGAACACCTCCTGTGAAAGTGTCTATGAAAGAGATACAAATCTCCAACCTTTCTTTGATGTTCCAGGTTATCATGGTTGCAAGTGATGTTCGCGTCTCTAATTAGGCGGATGACTCTCTTCTGGATGGAATCCAGCAGCTTTAGGGTATGCTTAGGGGCGAAGCTTCATACATGAGAACAATACTTTAAAGAAGGTCTGATCTGAGCTTCATAAAGCATCAAAAGTTGCTGAGGTGTACTGTGTGTACAGTTTTCTGGTTTGGAACAGTGTTACAAGCTTTCGAGAAGCAGCCTTTGCAATTGTAGCGACATGATTGTAGTAAGACAAATTGGTGTCCACTTCAACCCCCAACAAACTTATTGAAGCAGAAAGCGGAATTGTCAGTCCTACATTATTATATCCGGTTTGAAGACATTTATCTTTTTGGAAAAAATCGATGCCTGAGTTTTCGTGGAATTGAATTGAACCTGGTTATTTTCACCCCAATTCGCAATCACATCTAGATCATCATTAAGATATGCAACCTCCTGTTGTCGGTGAAGATATGCATCCGCAGCCTATGTCCTAGAATCCAAATGGAATAACGAGACAAGTGTGCTGTTGTCGGAAAAGCAATGTATTGGATTCTTTTTTCTTTCCAATAAGCCGTTTATATACAATAAAAAGAGGTTGGAGACAAAATGGATCCCTGGGAACCAGCGTTGATGGTTGAAGTATTCGAGGGATATCCATCCACAGCTACTTGCAGCAAACGTTCTTTCAGGAATCTGAAGAGCCCTACACGGAAATAATGTGACAAGCCATAGCATCGAGGTTTGCTCAGCAAACCCTCATGCCACACACGGTCAAAGGCCTTAGAAATATCAAGCGCAACAGCTCTTGATTCTCCATGTGATGGACTACAGGTCGAAAACGGAACTTTCAGATAATCTGTGTTATGCTGCTGAGACGTCTTCATCACACTTAAGGTATGTTTTCCTAGCGACGTGTTTTTGTGCATCTGGAACTGGGTTCGTCCCAATCGCAGGAGCGTGAAACTTATCACGTGGCGTTTAAACGTTATCCTAAGCAAAGCATTGTTTTATGTTCAGTTGAATAACGTACTAACAGACAACGGACTGTACCTAGGTCTGTCATTATAGAATGAATCCAAAGAAGAAGAAAAATTATTGCAATGATTATTCTCAAACGAATGCTTGCACAACTTGCTTAGAGTTGAATACTCATCTGAGAATCTCTTCAGAGCACATACAACACCTAACTTCAAAGATTTACCAACGCACAACTTGATTCCTCTTGTAGGTACTGGCGATTTTTCTAAATCCGCCGGATTTCAAGTGAGAAGTAGATTCACCAATTACTTCAGTATGAACCTAGGTGATTCAGACGTCTTCGGGTGATGACTGGACTTTTTCTCCTGAAGATAACTATTTATTGGTCATTCGAGCGCTTTCACCCATCCCTTCTTTCCTCTATCCACTTCATCGGTTTAGCGGGATATGATCGTTTAGCTGAAGTTGGCCGTTTTCCGCTTGATTGTGAGTTTCCATATGTTGCGTATCTCTACGCTAGCTTGACTGAATGCGCTGTTGGACAACATATACACTGCAGCTATCTACAGATTTATCACATAGTTCCATACTAGGTCTATTGCTTACGCACTTCATACTTTCGATTTCGAAAATGCAGTCAAATATTGCAACATAAATTTACACGCCGACGGTTTACGCAAGATACCTGATTACTAGATCTAGACGGTATTAACAGTATTACACTCCGGGCACTTAAGCGTATAAAATATTCATCTGGTTCACTTCATCTTTGGCAGTAAAAAATAAATTAGATAACCTGTCATTTAGACCACAGGTCAGGTCATTAAATGCCAATGCCAAGATGGAGAAACTAGGAGTTTGAAAGCTTAAGTGTCCGGAGTGTAATAGTGTTTATATGGGAGAATGTGGCCGAAATTTCTCAAAACGGTATGCCAAACATGAAGTGACCTTCAGACTAGGTGAACATGATTCGACGTTTTCAAACCATTCCTTGGAATGCAATCACAAGTTCCCGAAGGTACGGAAATTTTGCACTATGCAAGCAAGGGCTAGAAAGTCAATTATTTGATTTACTTGGAAATTCATATGCATGAGCATTGCCGATGTAACCTGCTAAATAATCAAATCAATCTAGTTCACTCACCGGTTTCCAAATTAGCGTTCCCACATTGTCACAGGTGAACAAAATTCAGTTACTGAATTGAGTCAAGTACCTTTGTTATTACCTACAGTGGTGTTCAAATATATAAGCGCTGATATCAATTATTTTCAGTTTATTGTACTTGTTTGAAAATGTCCTTATAGGACGAAACTGCATCAACGTTAGTTACGAACAAGTGGTAAAAAAACAGAAAGTTTCCATTTCCCATTTTTCTTCTTGCAAAAAATGACCATTTCTTGTTCGAATAAGTAATGACCAAATTTCTCGCTCATTCAGTAATATACTAGTAACATATCAACACTCTATTATTGAACAAAAGTATTTCACTTCATCCAGAACCAATGTCTATAAATATCCTACTTTGAGATATGAACCCAGACGTAGATCTGAATTTGATACATATACTGTGTTTCGTTATCTTAAGATATTTTTTCGTTTTATTCATTTTCACACTCAAGTGTACAATTTATTTCAGTGAAACCAATAAAAGCCGGTTATTTTTACCAAGAGACCAATTACCATACACATAACGTTCAAGGTGTAGGGAATAATATTCCGTGTTGATGGAAACGTAAAAACAAAGGAAGAATGAGGGGAGATATATTCCACACGCAAAGTTGGAATAAATAATTGAAATGCTAGAATTACAGTCGAAAAATTCCACTGGTAACTTTCTGGTTTCCCCACACGAAGTGAAATGTGATAATGAAATATCATCGATATTAAGTTTTGTCCGTTATTATCAGTCTACTTTATACTGTAATGTCTCAGTAATAGGGGAGTCCAAGCGGGGATTTCGGGATTTACTGAAGCGCGGCAGATTAATATACAGGGAGATACCTTGTACCCGGTTAAGTTCCTCCACCAAATATGAGCCTCATGTATAAGGCCGCCCGTGAAGGATAAAGGATCAGATTAGTAAAAAAAAATGATCATCAGAAATTCTCGAGCGCGTCAGATTAAGGTAGGGTGAGTTAATTACATGATAAGAAGTGTATATTCCCGTAATCTGACAATTTGAGAGTGACGTAAAGAAAGGGGAGGGCAGCAAAGTTGTAAAAAAACGTCATCTCGACATTCTCGAGTGTAGCTAATTTTTTGTTATTTTGGAGAAAATAATTCAAGGATATCGAAAAATATATAATCTGACGATTTCCGCAAGCCGAAATAGCAAAAATTCGTCGAGNGCGCAACTGCGAGTTAGTCTGCGTAGGAAAGGCGAAGGAAGCGAAACTGTCTATTGTGAAATAAAGTAACACCCGTCAATAAAAGTATTTTGATTTGACTTTTATGTGCGATTTATTAGTATGGAAGAGAAGCGAAAAATCGACAGTGAATACAGAACGTTCCAAGAAAAATGGAACTTTCAGTATTAAGGCGCTATGTTTAATTTGTAATGCAACCGTAGCTGTTCTCAAAGACTATAACATTAAACGACACTATGAATCGGAACATCTTCAAAGTTACTCCAAGTATTCAGGAAGATTGCGGAAGGAAAAATTTGAAGCTTTGAAACGCGGACTCAAATCGCAGAAATCTTTTTTTACCAAAGCGAATACTGAACAAGAGTCTGCAACTCGCGCCAGCTTTCGTGTGGCTCTTGAAATCGGAAAACGTGAAACGTGGCAAACCATTCACCGATGGAGAAATGATAAAAGAATGCTTGATTGCAGTAGCCGAAGAAATATGCCCCGAAATGGTAAATTTCTTCAAAAGTGTCAGTTTTTCAGCAAACACCGTGGCTCGGAGAGTGCAAGACATCGTAGAAAATATATCTAAACAAACAAACTAGCATTCGCCGTATTTTAAAAACCCATAAAATGTATTCTTACAAGATTAAATTAACGCAAGAACTGAATGAAGATGATTTCTATCGACACTTTTTTTCTAAATGACACAGGTAATCGCCAAACTTGTCGCTATTGGGCTGATTCGAATCCTCACATTTTTCATGAAGTGCATACTCAACGTCAATGCAAATTAAATGTATGGCTGGAATTTTTGGTGATCGTATTGTTGGCCCATTGTTTTTAAAAGGCAATGTAACCGGACAAATGTATCTGCAGCTTCTGGAAGGTACTATTAATCCCCTTCTCACCGATATTATTGAAAATGACCAAAATTATCGAGAGGATCTGTTAATATTATCATGATGCAATTGATAACAATTCACCTGTTCTTGAGGAACTGAAAAAATAAATAATGCTGATTACCACAAACTTTTTTCAATTTGCAATATTCATAAATGGAAAAGGTCATCGATTTATTTTTCCAACGCTTTCCTCTCTTTAGAATTTGATGCACTAGCATCAAAACCTACCATTTCCAAAAATAATCTCTCCTAATGATCCCCTTTCAGTTCAAAAATTATCAGCTTGTGATATTCTAACAGGAGCTGTGTATGTTTTGTATTCAATCTATACCATCGGTTCCACTTCTGCCTTTTCCAAGGTGATAATATATGGCAAAATTTTGGATGATAAAATTTTGGATAGGCTGCCTCCTCCGAATTTGAAAAAAAATTAGGTATACTTACATATATTGACGTGTAGATTACGAATCCGTGTTCTGGTGAAATCCCTGCATTTGAGGTTATATAGTAGGAACATTTCGAATAAAGTGGTTGGTGTTTGTCACCGGCTACTATTCGAAATTCGTATGATTTGAAGTCCATTTTTCATTTTGACGTGAAATATGAATTTGAAACGAACGACAATCGAAAATCCTAAAAATTAAGGCAAAAACACTTGATTTGAAATGCTGATAGTGATGCCAACTATGTGGTTAACCTCAAAAACGTGAAATGGACAGATTTATCACCAAATTTCAGGTGATATAAAATGTGGTGAATAAATACCGGTAATTTTCTATAGTTTTCATTGTAAACAATGAAGAGTGAACAGTTTTATTTCTAGGAAAAAAATTCAAGAACTACAAAAAAACTCCTACAGGTGCTCTAAGAGCGGTGCCTGTGCGAAAGTAGAGATTCACGTTGAATTTGAATTGCTGGAGATTAAATTCATTTGGAAAAACGTTCTCATGAAGTTTATTCCGCATAAACGCAGTTCTTAAACAGTGCAAATCGAGGTGTACTGAGTTGAACCTCAAAACCACAGTCCGTTGCGTATTTCTGATACGTACCACTCTTGGTGGAATCAAAGTCACTTGAACACCTCTCGTGAAAATATCTTCAAAAGAGAGACAAATCTCCATCCTCTCTTAGATATTCTAGACTATCAGAATTGCAAGTGATGTGTCTCCATTCAGGTGGATGGCTCTTTTCTGGATGGAATCCAGCAGCTTCAGCGTGTGCTTAGAGGCGAAGCTCCATATATGCAAAAAATACTTCAGAGTAGGATCCGAGCTTTATGAAGCATCAGCGACATGATTGTGCCAAGACAAATTTGGTTTTCATTTCAACCTCCAACAAACTCATCGAAGCAAAAAAGCAGAATTGTCTGTCCTAACATTATTGTATCCGGTTCGGAGACATTTATGTTTTTGTACACCGATGCCTGGGTTTCCGTGGCATTTAACTGAAGCTGGTTATTTTCAACCCAAATCGAAATCACTCGTTAAGATATGCAACCTCCTGCTGCCGGTGAAGATGTGTATCCGCAGCCGATGTCCTGGAATTCAAATGGAATGACGACACAAGTGTGATGTAGATTCTTGGTTTTTGCCAATAAGTTGTTAATATACAATAAAAAGAGGGTTGGATACAATATGGATCACTGGGGATCACCAGCGTTGATGGTAAAAGTATTCGAGAGATATTCATCGACGGCCACTTGAAGGGAGAGCCATATATAAAAATGGTCCAACAAGCCTTAGCATCGAAGTTTGGCCAGCAAACCCTCATTCCACACACGGTCAAAGCCTTAGAAATATCAACCGCAAAATAGCTCTTGACTATCCATGTTTCTCGATTGCGTTATTTCAAATATGGGTGACATACGATAGAAGGTCGCTTGTTGATTTTTGTTTCTGAAAGCCATATTTATTATCGCTCAAGATGTTGAGGACTTTCAAATATTCAAGGATATAGTGGTTTGCGGCTTTCTCTATGATTTTTTATGTCACTGGCAAAAAGACTGGTTATTTTAAAGACTGTTCTTGCTTTTTTTGCCAACAAGAAGGAAAACCACCCTTCTTGTTAGAGAGGTTGAATGGTCTGTAAAATACTGGTACGAGTTCATCAGGACCAGACGCCTTATTGATATTAGGCTGTTTCAACTAGATGTTGATTCTAATGTGGAAATAGTGGGTGGTGCTTTTCCCAGAAAATCGACTGTGGAGTGGGACGCAAATTGTTCAGCTAGTGAATTTGCTTTTTCTATGGCTGTTGTTGCAATTGAACCATCCGCTTGTTTTAGTAGTGGAATTGTGGATTTTGTTGACATATTTTATCAACAGCTTTAGCTACCGACCCCTTGGAATTGGCAAGCAGTTAATCCCTAACTCTCTGATTGTGAAGTTCTTTGCTTTCATTTGTAAGTTTGCAGCTGTTGCGATCATTAACAAACCTAGTTCGGTTTTGGGTACTGGGATTTTTGCGCCACTGCCGGTAGGCAACATTTTTGAAGGCGACGGCTTGCTCGCAATCTTTGCTGGACCAAGGTTTGCCGTTAGAAGTTGATTTCATTGAGAAAGGAATATATGCATTCATGCATGATAGAATAACGTCCGTGACTTCAAAAGCACAAGATGGATTCATTAGAGCTGAAACAAACATCTAGCCAGGGGAAATTTCAGAAATAGTCTTCAAGATTCTCCCACTCAGTACATCTGTAATGCCAAACTTTGCGCAGCTCAAATTGTTCTCCAACATTTATCGGTAATTCACTGAAATGAGTTTGTGGTCAGGAGATCCAAATGGAACTTTGGAGGTCTGTTACTCTGGAAAATACGTAGGTACACCGTTTTTTTCAATAGACAGCTTATCCAAAACTTTACCTGATACATAATTTTTCAATCGGAGCTCTTCATAAGATACTTTTTCAGATTATTATTCGAAGAACTTACAGTTTTTGCAGCATACAGCTCCTTCACTTTTTTGGTTTGGACATAAATTTTTAAATGCCTCATCTACTGGTTGGTGACACTCATCTTCTAGTAGACAGAACCCACGGACTTTGTAGCAAGATTCTTCTCCATAAAAATTCGATGCTAAAAATAAATGTATGTAAAAAGATATGCGATTCTATGATTTTCCCTAGAACAAGGTGTTCATAATAAGTGATTGATGAAGTAAAAGTGACCATTCAATACCAAAAATGACCCTAGAGTATTCGATAATAGATTCAGATATTTGAAGTGAACCGAGCATTTTCAGTAGAGCATGTTGTGCACCAAAACCACAGAACATGTAGGCGTTCTGTGACAGATACTTCAATTTTCATTTCAACACATGCCCACGCTGTTGATTATCGAACAATAGTGCAGCATAAAATATCAGTTATATGTTGAAGTTAAAATGAAATTGACGATGAAAGTTGATGCTGCCCAAATTCCGCTTGAGTATATTGAGCAAATTAAACCAGCAACAAAACCGGCATGCTAGAAAAATTATGTGAAAAAAAGAAAATTTGTACAAAAACGATGAAATATGAAAACGAATAATCAAAGTGAGTCGTTTTTGGCAATTTGCTAACAATTCAGACGTTGCTCGGTAGGAGCCAAGAGCTTCCAACGCCACTAGACCGTCTGAGAATATTTTTATTGACTTGTGTATGAGGATGGATTAATTCAATCTCTCCGCACACAATTCAATAGCGTAAAGTTCCATTTGAAACACAATCTCATAAGTTCCTAGGCAAGTAGATATCTCTGTCCTGGGTCTGCGACTAAAAACACCTCATCAAAACCGGAAGGCGTTTTTGATCCATCTGTGAACCAACAACTATCAGCTCTTAATATTTCCTTCTCCCGAAGGATACAGTCCTCTCTACTCGGGAACAGTACTTTATAAGTCAGTTCGTAGTTGACACTTGGAGGCATGAAGTCAGAGGTCATTTCCACAGTGCCGTGCCTTCCATTGTCAACCAACAGTCTGTTTGCACTCTGCATTAAATTGATTTGTGCAATTGGCAATGTGCAGAAGTCTGTATGCAGTCCATCTAGCCTCTCTATCCAGAAAAATGTGGAGAGGAGGTAGATCTAGAAGGATCTCCATGGCCGCTGACGGTGTGGTACTGATGGCACTACTGATAGCCAGACAAGCCTGTCTTTGTAAGCCAGAGAACTTCGCTTGGGCCGTTTTTTGTAAAGTCTTCGGCCACCAGGCAATTTCACCATAAATGATCATTGATCTGACACTCATCACATAAATCAAATGGATTTGTTTGGGACCTTAACCCCAAGTTTTACACAAATCCATCGACATGTCTACAGGGACAGTCTGGCTTTGTGTAAAACTTTTTCCAAGTGAGCCTTCCAGATGGGTTTTTTTATCAAGGATAATGCCCAGATATTTCACCTCCGTTCCAAAAGGAATGACTTCACCATTGAGGAAAAGTGGCGTTAGATCGTCCAATTTTCTCCTCCTGGTAAAGGGGATTATCACAGTTCTGCTGGGGTTGACTGACATCTGCTCCCTCGGGCACCAACTATGAACAACGTCCATCGTGCTTTGGAGGATATTACAAGCTACCCTTCCCGACTTGGACCTTGCCAAGATGACAAGGTCATCTCCATAAGCTTGCAGATCTACAAGCATGGGAGAGTCCAATTTTCAAGTTATTCGGAATAAAATAAATATTACGGAGTGTTGGAATCAATTCACATTCCTTTTATGTGATAATATCCAATTGAGTCTTCTTATATTTGTTACAAACAAAAAGAGGTGAAGTTGTCAATTATGGAAGCTTGTAACAACTACAAATTGAATATCTTTACTTTTTGAGTTCTTTGAAAGTATTATTCACCAAAGACACTGATGCAAAGTTATCACATTTGTCTCAAATAGGAAGGTTGTATAAAATGCAAATTGTTCAACAACATGGACATGTTGTTTCAGAGAACTAGTTCTCATACGTTTATTTAATCATATACATAACAGAATTCAGTTACTTACTAATGTTTTTTGCTGTGGAACCTCCCAAACAGAATACAATGCTGAACAAAACTACTAAAGTCAACATTTTGGACATTTATGAACTCGAAGAGAACCTTTTTAACACTTTATAAAAATAATTGATGGCGGTTTCAATATTAATGAGTGAGTAATCGTTTATCGCCAAAAGCCCCAAAGACGATAGCACTTTATGCAGTAGCAGTAATTACGAACACAGTTTGTTATGCACTGAGTAAATTCATTTACATCTACGTTAAAAATGTGAAAGTATTCACATTTATTCGTACGGTGCAAACACATAAATATTGATATTTCGCCTGTGGATGCTTATCTACTTAATGAATATGCATAAAAACGGGTCAATGCGATCATGTTCTCAATTAATGAGATTAACAAATTACTAAATGTGGCAAAGCAGATGCTAATGAACTGGTGTGGGTTCGAGTTGACTCGAGTAGTGAAGATTCAAAATTACATTGTCCAAAAAATATAATAATAATAATATTTTGTTGATCCAATATAATGAGCCTAAAAGAAGCAATTGGACAAGTCAGTACATATCAGATACTTATATCAAATACAACTATAAAACAGACATATTCATATTACAAGAGTTAATGAAACAAGTGAACAAAGGAGCAAAATGAAAAATAATACAAAACATATTTACTAATGTAGATAATAAAAAAACTTATCAATTGTATAGCGGCTAATTTCAAAAAGTAGTTTATTTTATATTTGAATACTTGTTCCTTGGTTATAATTTTGAAAAACTCCGGAAGTGCATTATACAATCTCAGCCCCAAAATCTCAAATGCGTTCAGACGTAGAGATAAACGTGTTTTGAGTATGTGAAAATATGTTTTGATGTGGGTATTATATTCATGGAAAGATTGGTTTTATTTGAAAAATTCTTTGGTTTTATGAATGTACAAAAAACTTCCAGAATGTAGAGAGCAGGTAGAGGCAACATTTTCAATTTTTCAAATAATGTTCTACACGATGATATTCGTGATGCGTTCGCAAAGGTTCTAATAATTCTCTTTTGCGTTACAAAATATTGTGTGCAGGTGAAGAATTTCCCCAAAAAATAATCCCATAGTTAATTTTCGATTGTATCTGTCCATGGTAATATAAAGGTAGACCAGAGTAGTCTAGAATTCTTTTCAGATTTCTCAACACATAACACTGCTTATTGAGTATTTTAGTGAGATTATCGCAGTGCTGACGAAAATTGAGATTGCTGTCTAGAAAAAGCACTGAAACTTTTATACTGAACCCCTTTCTATTTCAACACCTGATATTCCAATATTAATGTCTACCGTGTTAATATTTTGGGCAGTGTGAAAAGCTACTTCTTTCGTTTTGGAGACATTCAAAAATAATGAATTTTCATGAACCAATTTTGCAAGTTATCAAGATCAGAATTTATATTTTGTTGTAATTCAGGCAAACTTTTTGCTTCAAATAAAAAGGAAGAATTATAAGCATACAAACAAGAGAGTGACTTTTACAAAACAGATGGCAACTCATTAATATAGAGAATAAAAAGGATTGGCCCCAAAAGTGATCCTTGGGGAACATCTATGTCATCATTCAACTGATCGGAAAAGAAAGTTTCGTTATAATTCTTATTCGAATATTGTATCTTGACAGCCTGGGTGTGATTTGAAAGATATGATACGAACCATTCATGCTGAATACCTCTACCCGTTTTATATAGTTTGTCTAGGAGATTTCCGTGTTGTACGCAGTCAAAAGCACGGCTGAGGTCACAAAAACTCCCAGTGGGATTTTTGCCTGCTTCAACAGACTATAGAAGATTCGAATAAAAAGAAAAAATTGCCGTTGTAGTGGAATGATTCGATCGAAATCCATGTTGGTTCGGAGTTAGAATAACATTTAAATTCATGAAGTTATGTAGAAATTCCAACATAGTGCTGAGGAAACAGCAATAGGGCTATAATTATGACAGTTTTCTTTTTTCAGGATTGAAGAAACTATAGAATGTTTCGGTCGCAAAGGAAACTGGCCCTGCTGAAGGGATATATTTATAATGTGACTTAGGGGGGCTATGATGTAGGGTGCAATCCTTTTAATCACATGCCCAGATATGCGATCTGGTCCACACGAATGTTTGTTTCTGATTTTGTTCCTCATAACCTTCAGAATATCATCTTCACTGACATAAGTAATAAACATACCATTTTCAATATTCGGTATCAAATTAGTCCTCAAGGGGTTATTTGTAGTTTTGTTCATTTTGTCAACAATATCATGTAGAGTATTCACGAAAAAGTTATTAAAAATATTAGCGATATCGAATGGATCTCCTATAAGACCATTGTTACAATCTATAGTTATATTACTTTTCTTTGTGGTTTTTCCTGATAACTCGTTGACAACAGTCCACGTGATCTTATTTACATTACCTGGAAAGTAAATTTTAGTTTGATAATATAGACTTCTATATGTTGCTTTTTTTGAATTTGGTAGAGTTCCTTCAGTGTGGGTTCAGTTTTCACCTCACGATAAATTTCTTTAAGATTTTTATTTGACATGTTAATTTCTGTGTTTACCCATTCAGTTCCAGGACTTCTATTTTGATGTTTTCTGATAGGTTTTATTGGGCATTCACAATTAAAATAAAATAACAGAGAGAACTGTTGAACTTATCGTCTAGATTATCTAGTTCTAAAGCATTCGACAAGTTTATAATATTAGTGTCATTTATTATTATCCTATGGATATATGAAGATCCGTCATCATTTCGATGTTGCTTCGATGAGAAGAATACAGTTTGGTGAGAAGATATACAGTTTTCGAGTACACATGATAATTGTAAAAGAAAAGGAACATTCAGAAATCAATGTGCAATGTAGGTGAATAAATTCTGAACTATTTTAAATGGGCTACAAATATGACGAATCAATTCATAAAAAAGTAAGATAAACAAAGGAATAAACAAAACAGAAATTGTTATTTTTTTCTCATACTATTAATGATGTAGTTGAAAATGATTTCACTAATTTTAAATACCCCTAACTAACTTCGCAATTCATCTTCGTGAAAATAAAGAATATCAAATTTATATTCAATAAAACGTAACATTATCACGAATTAGCAATGCTCTAGAGTGGAATATATTGAAATGGAATAACTGTATATATCAAATGTTGAATCTATAAGTGGAGTTCGTCGAATCAATTTCATTAATTATTTATTGATAAACATTTTAACTGGCGTCAAATGTAGAACATAAATAATTCAATTCTGTAAATTCAAATTGTTTATTGGATTAGAATTGGAGTTCTGTTCAAATTGAATACATTTTTCGATATATTATGACACAATCAGTGTTTGAATAAGGCATCACAAAAAGTTATTACAATTGAAACAAAGTAAAACAAAAAACGTGACAGAAGTGATAATTTAAATGAAATTTACGCTATTGAATTGTGTGCGGAGAGATTGGAAGAATCTAACCCCACAAGTCAATAAAAACATTCTTGAACAATCAAGCGGCGTTGGAAGCTCTTGGCTCCTACCGAGCAACGTCTAAATTGGGAGCAAATTGTCAAAAACGACTCTCCTCGATAGGAAGACTCCATAGATTGTCTCTGGTCTGGATTCCTGGCCATACTGGCCTGGAAGGCAATGAGGCTGCTGACTCCCTTGCGAAAGAGGGTGCTGCAAGCAGCTTCATTGGACCAGAACCTGTCATTCGCATTGCTTTAGGCTTTGCCAAACAAAGACTGAACATCTCCAAGGCGTTTATTCACCCTTCGAAGCTTGATACCAAACAGTTGTTGGACTACAGTAGGACTACAGAGACTCGGACTGCGGGTTGCGGTGGAGGGTCGAATAGACCCACTCACTTTGGGCCCAACCTTACCTTACCCAGCTTATCGCCGAAGATCGTGGACTATTTTTTCAAGCACCCACATAATATTGGTTTCAAATGAATAGGTTTGATGAAAAGAATACTAATAATCTGTTTTTTCTGTTAACCAGGTGTCACACCTCTACGAATGACAACCCTCAGAAGTCGAAAATTGTGCGACATAAGGATCAACGAGGTCTTACCTTTCAACGTATGATTCCTAACACGGGTTGGATGATAGCAAGTGAAAATGTTTCGTTCATACTGGGGCTTGAACCACCGACCAATACGGCTGTCAATTCGAGTGAGTGAACAAAGCACCCACTTCGAACCGACTGGCTACCGACCGGCATCGCTCAAAATCTATTATGGCAAACCGCCCAAGGTGGCGCATAATTTTTTCATTTACACTTATGATGAAGCTTTACTGAAAATAATACGAAAAATGAAATGACGTCATTCAGAATCTAACATCACACCAAAGGGAAAAAACTTTGAGCGGCGGAAAAGATGGGCGCTGTACCAATTTTGAAGAGTTATAACTCGACAAAGGTTAAGGATAGTTTGGTGGTGCTCAATCAAATGTTTTGGGAATTGCATTGAATGAAATGATGATCAGACTTAGTAAAATGTCCCGCGATAACTGAAAAATGAAAAATTGAATAATGGTAAAAACATATTTAAGTACAAGCTTTCATTTAGCGGGAACACTCTGGAGAACACCGGCGTTGAAGTAAAGATATCTGTGTGAGAACCATCGATGCTTACTCGAAAGAAACAGTCTTTGAGAAACCTGGAGAGTCACCATCAAAGATAATATGAATCATAACAGAGAAATTTACCCAGTAAATACACATGCGAGACACAGGTGAAGTCCTTAGACGCCGTGTAACTTGATTGCATTTTAATGAGGTAGTCTGTTGATCTTTGCTTTCAGATATCACACTGATTGAGTTAATCTACAACTCTCTTTCGTATTATTGATATACCTAGCAGAGCAACTGATCTACAGTGAGCACCATATGTACCGGATAAATTCATTTTCTACGTTACTACCCATTTTCAAGAAAAACCCTGAAACACGTCGAATTATGTATTCAGAGTTTTTCTTGAAAATGACTAGTAACGTAAAAAATGAATTTATCTGTTACATATGGTGTTCACTGTATAGTTATGTGAATATCTTTCTTGTGTTTTGTTAGATAGGTTGAGGAGTTAACAAAAAATGATGCTTTTTTTTAATTTTTGTCTTGTCTGAAGACTGTATAACGGGAATATACATACGTACGTAGAAACATTCATCTCTCCCAACGACCTACACAGTAGGTTCTGGTAAATGCCTACTGGAAAACAACTAGTTTCCCGGCTGATACCACGCTGGATATTGAATTATATCCGACATACATTGGTGCAAGATACCTC